GATGCATGCTTATTCGCGGATCTTTGTTAATTAAAATCTCAGTAACTATTGCGAATCTAGCAAAATGATATAGGACTTTTCACCTCAGTTTTATTCCTTCTACCTGTCTACGAGAGATGTTAAACCAATTCTGGGACACCCTGTATATATATATAACATTTTTACTATATAATTTTTATTATATAATAAAATTGATACGTATAAATGTGTATATATTTTTATGTGCACATATTTTTCTATATCATTTGGTATATATTTATTAAAAATTGACTAATAATCAGTATATGTTAACAAAAAATTTGTTCTTGCTGAAAAATGTATTTTAAATTATATTTAATAATAATACTAATAATAAGAGAAATAATCTTATCCATTGTTGCAGGCATTTTATTAAAAATATTGCACTGCAATATTTTTAATTTATTACTTATTTAAATTATTATTTTATTAAAAATATTACAATGCAATATTTGTAATTATTTATTTAAATTATTTTTTATTACAAATATTCTACTGCAATATTTTTAATAAAATAATAATTTAAATAAGTAATAAATGAAATGCGTAGAATAGCTTGAGAATAAGCAGAGAAAAGAAGTACATTTTAGTAAAAACCAAGTGGTCTTGCGGACTGAGTGCAGAGGCTGCGAATATGGAGGTCTCAAGTTCAAATTTCATCATCACCCCTCAGGATTTTTTCCGGATCCAATATCTTTCATTGAGTTAATCAGTTGATCGACAAACTAAACCAGGCCTCCAAAGATCAATTCGAGTGAAATCTCAACTTAATTCCCCTCTTACGATGTGCCATTTTTTTTTTTACATATTGTAATATTACTGTAATGCATTTTGGCGGACATTTTAATATTATTGTGATATTACATTAACATTACGGTAATATTTCTATTATATTAGAGTGTAATATTGCAATAGAAAAGCAATATTGTGTGTGATATTGCAGTAATATTACGTGCTATATGCGATGTCACGTTAATCACGTTACATCAGATTAATGACGTAAGTAAACGTTATTAACCTGTCGTCATTTTTGACGAGACAAACTCACGTNGTCATTACGTCAATATCACGTCATAAACTAACGTCGAACTGGTCAAAAACTGACTTTATATTAACGTCATTATAACGTCAGCTGGTTGCCTGGGTTATTCGTCCACTTATAGAAACTTAATTTTTTTATTACATATGAAAGTCGCTTTTCTATTAAAATTTAAATTTACAATAATTTCCTATTTATTTTATATTTTTGAGTGTGGTACATTTAACAAAATACTAAAAGACTGCTTGTTTGTTTTTTCGGAAGCGTTTTGTCGAAGCGGTTGCACGTGAGAGACTTTGTTCATATAGACATTTGGCACCAAAGCCTGAAGCACAATGTGCGTAATGGCACCGGTGAACCCCCAGACACGATACTTCCCGCCCAGATAAGATGGCAGAGTGATATCTTCCTTCTGAAAACGCGTAAAACTACACAAATCGGGGTCACATAGTTTTTGCAGACTGATGACGAATGCTTCCTCCACTTCATCGGGATTGATTTCAAGTATTTCTAGTTCTATTTCGCCGATATAAGCTAATACCGGCATCACGTTAACAGTTCCTTTGTCGATGAGATTGCCTATAGTCCACACGTCGATTTTCTCTTTGGGAATTTTTAACTCCTCCCAAGTTTCTCGCAGAGCAGTTTCCTGCAGATTGACATCGGTTTTGTCGCGCATACCACCTGGGAAAGAAACCTGCAAAGAATATTCGGAAGATCATCTCTTGCGCGATTTCCTGCAATACAAAGTTACTAACCTGTCCTCGGTTGGTTGTAAGCTTCATAGATCGCAATGTATACAAAAGACCAAGTTCACCTTTGTACAAGCATAATGGAACTAAAACAGCGGCTTCTGATATATTCTTAGATGTTTTTGGCAATTGAAAAGAACGAAATCTCTCGATAGTGGCCTTACGATTGTTCTCCGAAAGAACTACTTCAGGCCTCAGAGCAGATGTAATCATGCTGCGATATTCAGATGTCATGAACTTGAAAAAAATAAGTTTTATTATTGCATATTAAAAAAATATTTTCTATCCCTTACGGAAAAATGTTTAACTATTGACCGTAACGTACGAAATCACGTTCAACCGCTTGACCGTAAACGCTCAAAATTGAACGTATAACGCTGACTATTGAAAATTTACGGTTAAATTGAACGTGATTTCGTACGTTACGGTTAAGAGTTAAACATTTTTTCCGTAAGGGCTATCTATACAATAAGAGAATATCGTCGCAGCAAAAACTCGTCTGTTTCGCACATAGTCCATCTCCTACATAGTCATATAATAAGGCTGCTTTCCTTTCAGAAGACACAGTCAACACAAGTCGACACAAAAGTCATTCTGTCTTCGTTCAGTATTCAGTGAGAAACAAAGACAAAATGACTCTTGTGTCGACTTGTGTCGACTGTGTCTCCTAAAAAGAAAGCAGCCTAAATAGACTGCGCGTGTGAGAGAAGTGAGTCAAAACGTAGAACGAGACAGATGCTTTCACTCGTGTCTTTGTCTCTGTCTCTCAGTGTCTGAAGTGCGGATCATTGTGCAACTTCATGAGACGTCAATCGACTTGTGTCACTTTCGCCCCTTTTCGTTATTCTTTTGTTAATTTTGCTTCTACATATTATGCGCAGACCGAAGATATTTTCTCATTGAACAGAGTGTAGATACTTTTTTATAGAATATAAAATGGTTTAGTCAGTATTGGGTGCTTTCCAGCTACGTACACAGGCGACATTGTATAACACAGTGTCCACTAGTGTGAGTGAGACACACTGATACGCTTTTTCTCACAATAATGGAGACTGTGTTACACAGTGTCGCCTGTGTACGTAGCTGGAAAGTGCCTATTTAGGCTGCTTTCCTTTTAGGAGACACAGTCGACACATTCGACACAAAGCGTCACACATCGCTTTCCATTTGTAATTGTGATCGACCTCAATCGACACACTTCGACTCTTCTCGGGAGGAGAGTCAGAGTGTGTTCAAGTGTACTTTTGACGCATATATCTGCACTATTGCAGCTTCAAGCATTTCTACATATATGATCATATATTTATATACGATCAGAATTGTAAACATTGCATATATTAAACAGTGTTGTTAATTTTCCTTAATATATCACGTTACTACTTTTGCCACTGTTGGATCAGTGGCAAAAAATAATAATAAAATCTTATCTTTAAAATAAAACTCTTATCTTAAAATATATTTACA